CACCTACCACCCACCACCCACCACCCACCACCCACCACCCACCACCTACCACCTACCACCTACCACCCACCACCTACCTCCAGCTGGGTGAGCTGGGACAGCGCCCCCCAGGCCATCACCTCCGCGGGCAGGGGACCCACCACCAGGAAGGACAAACTGCGGAGACCCGTCAGACGACTGAGACCACAGAACTCGTCGTGGATGGCGCCGCCCTGAACGGGGGGGGGGGGAGGTGGAGGAGGTGAAGATATCAAAGTGGAAGCAAGAGGAACAGCAGCAGCAGCAACAGAAGAAGAAAAAGAAGACGAGCGCGTATACGACCTGCACCTCCCAGCACTATATAATACATTTATTATTTGTACCGTACAGTACAGTGTACATACAGAGCTGGTCTGGTCTGGGTTGACACTACCGCGATTCGCGGTTTAAGGTCCTGGGTTCGATTCCTGGGGAGACCCCCGAATTAGTCGGGAGCTCGAGATTATGGCTAGCTGCTGAGATGTGGAGTTGAGGTCACAGTTGATGGACCAGATTCGCACGCTGGATTGGTGGCGATTGCCGAACCCTCCGTCTCTTCGGTTGTTCGGGTGAATGGATGAGGAGGGGTCCTAGACGGCTGGACCCGCCGCCTTGGACTTACAGTTCGTATGGCGAAGTATAGTGTGGTAGTGGTGGATGGTGCTATAAGATGATAAATCGTAGAACTGACAAAGTGATAAAGCGGCCCAGAAGCCTCCCACTCTGTAACATTACACACATACAGAGCGGTGGTACGGGAGAACTCACAGCGTACTGCAGATCTTCAATGACGAGGCGAGTAAGGCCCGACAGAGACGCCAGGCAGGCCAGACCCGGGTGCATATTGACCACGTGGTTTACCTGAGAGAGCGGCGGCGGGGGAAGAAGGTAGGGCTTGCGGAGTTAGAGGGGTTCCGAAGCTGTATAGCAGTACGGCAAAGGGGAAAAGGCGAAAGTGGGGTTGGAAAGGAAAGCGGAACGGTGGCTACGGATCAGGCACCACCCGAAAGTGGGACGGGTACTGGGGACGAATCAAACGACGCAACTTGATTGGCACCCTTGCCCCACACCACGAATACCCCCACACAAAAGACAGTAAAATTTTTTAACCTTTTGTAAACCCCCCCTCCATTTCATTAACCTCAATTCGTTGTAAAGGAAACATTCCTGGAAAGGAAACACCTAGAATCGGCTCGCTCACCACTAGCTGTTGCAGGCCCGTAAGCGCCACCAGTCCCGCCATATCCGCAGCCCGCAGCTTCCCGCCTCTAAGAACCAGCGTACGCAGCTGCGGAAGGGACGCCACACGAGACCAAAACAGCCGCTCCCCCCCCTCCAACTCCAACTCCAGCTCCTCCGCTTTCGGGTCCGTATCGTCCTCATCGTCATCAGTCTCGTACTTGCAGCCGGCGCCGCCGCCACCACCGCCGCCGCCACCGCCACCACCGCCGCCGCCACCGCCACCGCCGCCGCCACCACCGCCGCCGCCGCCGCCACCATTGCCGCCGCTACCGGCGTCACGCAGTTCCCTGACGTCGCTATCGCCCAAGCCCTCTCTTCCACCAGCTGGCCATCTCTCCGACAGCGCCAAGTCAGGAACGTCCGCGACGCCGTCCAGGATACCGGTGGCGGCGCCGCCGCCGCTGCCCGCTGCACCGGAAGGACCCGCTGCACCCGCCAGGTCCGCAGCCTCACCACCGGCGTCGCCATGCCTCGCCTCGCTCACATCACCAACCTGAACCGCCGCCGACACGGCCGCCGGCACTGCGATCCCACCTCTAGAGCCGCTCGCCCCGCCGGCCTCATGTCCCGCCGCCGCCGCCGCCGCCGCCGCGCCATGCGATCCCAAAGGCCGTACGTCACCCAGGGCGGACGGTGACAGCCGCCTCAAACTCCACCACCGCTGCCGCCGCTGCTGCTGCTGCTCCTGGGGCGGCATCGTCCAGCGCAGTCTGGAGTCCGCCATCTCCGCATCTACTGCGTCCACCGCCAACGCACCGCCAAAGCGGCGGACGCCTCTTTCCCGCTGCTGGGAGACCCCCGCTGCCTCCGCCTCGCCTTCTTCGCCCTCATGCTGCGTGTCCGCCTCCTCCGGCACCATAGCCGCCTCCTGATGTTCTTCCAGCTGGTCCCCCCCGTCCGCCGCATCCTGCGCCGCTGCTGGCTCCACTGCTAATGCCTGAGGTTCGGGCACTTCCAACCAGTTTTCATCCTCATCCTCTTCCCTAACCTCTGCCCCATGTTCGCTGCCGTCATCAGCGCCGCCGCCGTCGTCTGCGCCGCCGCCGTTGCCGTCGCCAGGCGGCAGCGGCAGCGGCCCCGCAGCCCCTTCTTCATCATGGTCTCCTCCCATGAGCACGTCCTGCTCGGGGTTGTTTGCGGGATGGTTATTTATGTGCAGATCATGCAAATCGGCAAAAGCTTCCAGAAGGTGCTGGTGAAGCTGGTACAGGTGGTGATGCGCCGCCTGCAGATGGTGGTGATGGTCGTGGAGCAGGCCGAACCAGGCGTCATGGCCGCCACCGCCCGCGCCAGCGGCTTCAGCGCCCGCCAGCTGCGGTTGCAGCTGCGGTTGAGGCGGCAGCGGCAGCGGCAGCGGAGGCTCCGGCGGATCAGTACGGCCAACGCGGAGCTCCGTCAGGCCCGCGGCCGCCGCCGCCAGCTCTCCTGCGGCGGCCAGGCAGCGCCGCGGCACGTTCTCAAAGCTGAGTACGCGCAAGCGACAAAGGTACGGCATCAGATTCACCGTCAGAGCGGCCAAACGATTGTTCAGGACAACCTCCGGGCGAAGGCGACTGGGCCGCCGCCGCGCCGGCGCCGATGGCCCCCCTTCACAGCCGCCGGGCTCCAGAACCATGTCGGTCGACTCTTGCTGCTGCTCCTGCTGCGGAGTTTGCAAAACGCCTAGCGCTCCTCCTCCCGTGGCAACGACGGCTGCAGATGTGCCATCGCTCGGCTCCCTCGCTACGCCATGTGCCCCATGCGACCCAGATTGCTGGGGTGCCGTTGGGGCGCCAGTGGGCGGCGGCCCACTGCCTGCTGCTGCTGCTGCCATTGCTCCTCCTGCTTCAGCCATCTCATCCTCCTGCGGCTGCGGCTGATGTGGTTGCTGTGGTTCCCAATACTGCTGTGCGTCTAACAGCTCCTGCTCCTGCTGCTGCTGCTGCTGTTCCTGCTGCTGCTGCTGCTGTGCAATTGCCGCCGGTGGCAGCAATAGCGGAGGTGCAGCATCTGCCCCCTCCGGGATCACATCCTCTTGCTGCTGCGGTTGCTGAGCTGCCTCCAGTCCGTCTAGCAAGGGCACAGCCGGAAGCACCGCCGCCGCTGGCGGCGGTGGCAGGCCAGCCGCAGCCGCTGCCGCAAGAATCGCCTCCATTTGCTCCACTAGCGCCTGCTCCCCTCCAGCGATGTTGCCAGGGTCCTGCTGAGCTGCTTGCTGCAAAAGCTCGTGAATCTGGTGCGCAAGCTGTTGCGCCCAGACTACTGCCTGCTGCTGTGGCTGCTGCTGCGGCTGCTGCTGTGGCTGTGGCTGCTGCTGTGGCTGTGGCTGCTGCTGTGGCTGTGGCTGTGGCTGCTGCTGTGGCTGCTGCTGCTGTTGTTGGATCAGAGGCGCCGCTACCGCGGCGGCCGCCGGCTGTAGCTGGCCAGCGGCGCCAGGAGGGGGCGGTACCACGTGATGAGCGTGAACGACAACGTTTCCACCAGCCAGCTCGATTTGGAATTGCAGCTGAGCGGGGACCGCCTGCAGGGGCTGCGCGACGGCCGCGGCGGGTGCGGCGGCTGCAACGAAATCTACGTCGTCCGGGTGCACGTCGGCCCATGGCACAGCCACGTGCGCATTGCCGGGAGCCCTGGGTGGCTGGCGCTGGCCCGGGGGTTGCGAATCCGGTGGCGGATCGGTGCGGAGGCACAGGTGCAGCTCGCTAACATGGCGTGTCCAGCCCGGCGGAGCGACGGGGGGAGTGTTGCTGCCCATTGGCGACTGGGCGCGCTGGGGGCGGGTATCGGGTAACAAAGCCGGAGCCAAGGCAGCCGCATCTGCACCTTGGGAAAGGCCTGGGCGATTGATGCGTAGGAGGTGGTGTGTCTCCGAAGTCCGAGGGTGGCCCTCGACCCAGATGCATAGGCGGTTCATAGTCATCTCGGTAGCTGTCTCTAACTTACGGCAGACCAAACGTACATTTGGCAAGGAACGCCTTGGAAGGTAATCTATGATGAGCAAAAGTATTTCCATGGGTAGCGAAAGCAACCCAGGTACGTTCTCGGATTCGCAGGGCTGAGCGGGTCCCGCGCTGGAACCCAGCGAGCCTGCTTCACCCATCCTTTGCGTAGAAATCAGGAGTTGCTACCGTAGCTTCTATGATGGGCCCTTCCGTCGAGGTGAAGCTTGCGTCCTACTAAGCTTTCTGTACGCGAGGAATTGCGCTGTGCGATTAAATACAACTCGTGGAAAACGTATGAACGTAGCTGCCTTTTGTCATGCAGAGTTACCTTGTGTTTTTTAATGTACGAGAGGTTAGCTTCCGTTGAATCACGACATCGCTAACTCGTGAACGGCCGTATTACCGCTGCCCCGCTATCAGTTTCATGTCGACGCTCAAACAGGAGACAAAGTCACATGGCCTGGAGTCTCAGCGTGCCTTTGAATCTACTGCAAAGGCAGACACAAGGCAAGCAAGCTGTACACGTCAGTGACAATATTAGTCCTCAATGAGGAAGTATTTTGAAACGTGGAGAGATGAAGCTCTCAATAGACAAAATTATTTCGCTCTAACCTGCCACATGGACAAGAACATCATCCGGGGCCTCGACAAGAACATCATCCGGAGCCTCCGGCGAACGGCAGATTGCATAATCCACTCTTCGCATCCACCCGTCTGCCGGATCGGCGGAGCATTGAGGTCCTCCATGGCCCACCCGCCTGCTCTCCCGCACCAGACACACTTCCATACGGTTACAACCCAGTTCCGAACTCCTACTCACCGTCGCACTGCCTAGATACGAACTTAACCCGCACGCACCCTTTCCAAGTCCACTCTCCGCTCCACGCGGCATTGCAGACATGCACATATACGTACATACACTCACACACACGCGCGCGCGCTTTGCACTAGAGACTCCCACGTCATGCTCTTCCCCGTAACCCCACAAAGATTAACGTTTCCATATCTCTAGGGGCCATGCCCCGCCACGGTGCGTGCCACCCGGCCGGGCGACCCCAAGAGCGCTGTCCCGCCGCTAGCAAAGTCGGTCCGCCTGTCCGTCCGTCAGTCAGTCTGTCAATCGAGCCGAATGGAAGGCTGCCCCTGCAGGGTCCTCCTATATACATACATACATACATACAAACAGACGCACGTGAGTTAGTCATGTGTGTCATCCTTACCAGTTCCTGTCCACGACTCAGATCACGATGTAACACACGCACACATTTCCCCCACTCCACAGTCCATCAAACTACGATGCATCATCAAACTCCAGCGCCGCTTTTTGAACGCCCGTTCATATTTCGTCAATCACACAGCAGCCACGTTGACTTCCGACACGCCTGACGGTCTACTCCTACTCTAACACATCCGGTCCATTTACTTTTCCATTTTCCGAACGCTTGCGCAACAGCTCCCTTCCGGAGTGTGTTTCCAACGATCTGAGCCACGACGAGGGGACATTGTGTGCGGACATTTTAGTCACCTAATCGTCCAGGGAATCGCTGTCGACCATCTCGTCTCCTCACTGCTGGAAGCTGAAAAAAAGATAGTTCCTTTTTTTCAACAATCAGAGCTTTCGGGCAGTTGAGAAGAGTCTCCCTAGGCAGTCAGCCTCACCCGCACCTCCCCCCCCCCTTCCCCCCCCCCACAACCCCAACAGGTCAGGTCAATCCTTGGCGCCCCAGGGCAGCCGGCCCGGGAACATGTCCGGTCCGCAGTACGACAGCAGGGCGCGCAGCTCCGGGCATCGACTCGGGTGAATGGGCCCCACCGCGAAGGGGTCCCGACGCAGCTTCTTAGCCAGCAGGTCGCCCCCGCAACCGTACGGGTCAGCCGCAAAGGCGCGTACGGTGCGAGCCTCGCCCTCCTACGTGCACGGAGTTGTGAAGGGGGCAGCAAGGGGAGGGAGGGGCCGCAGCATCAGCATCAGCAGTAGCTGAGGAGGGGTGGGGTTTTGCGGGGTGTGGTGACAACTCCTCCGCAATACGCCGCAATCCCCATGACCGTCCCATTCAACAAGGCACTGGCCAACCGACCCACCTGGGCGCCCACAGCATCCGGCGGCACCGGCGTCCCCACGAACCGAAAGTACTCCGCAGGCCACTGTACGGCCTGCCGGTGTAGTGTACGGAACCGCGCCTCCTTCAACGTGTACGACACCACGGTAATGAGTTCGGGATAATGCCCGGTGAGCTCATAAAACCTGGCCAGTGTGCGACGGGTGAACGACGGCAGGAGGACAGGGCCGAAGATTCAGTTAGGAGTTGTGGTTGACGGTTAAGAGACCAGTTCAGTTCGGTTCAGTTGGTTTAGTGGGCGGGAATTTCAATTACGGAGTTCAGTTCGCAGTTCGCGGCTGTGGCCAGGGCAGGTCTGGCACGGAGCTGCCACAGAGATGCCGAAACGATGTTCACGTGCATGTTGCCTAATTAGTCTACTTCCGAACAGTTCCACACCACGCCAACTTGGCCCATAGCCGTCTTCGCCTCAATGTCATATTTGCGTGCGTAATTCAACACACAGACAGACACACACGCATGGACCCAGTTCAGCCACATGTAACTTCGTCGCCATTTCATGCCCATAGCTTAGGTCAATAACACACGACGGTAAACACAACGGTAAATAAATAAAACTGAGTAGCTTTGCTATAAACTGAGTGTTGTTATAAAATCAAAAAGCCCATTTTGATTTTTTCCATTCCGGTTTGACGCAGGCAATGATATGACCCACATCGCCAACATGCTCCCATTTCGACACGTGTACCTCAAACGAACGATCTTCCACCCGTTCGCGTACGGCACCCATTTCCCCTCTCACTAATGGGCCTTATCAGCACATAAATCGGGCGCATCTGGCAGTAAGGTTTCCGGCGCCATCCTTCCGGCGCCATCTTACCTCCCCACTCCCTGCAGCGAGGGGGCCCTGGACGTCCAACCCGCAGAGACTCTTGACTCAATGACGAGCAAACCCATTTTAAAAAAGAGTAGAGGGCGGAGTTTTGGTCCCCTTGCGCATCCCACGTTCCCCTATACCTGCATAAGCTGAAAAGAAGGTTCTCGAAGCTGTCCCTGGCGTGCTCCTCCGTGAAGGTTCGGTTGCGCACCTGGGAAATAGGGAAATAGCACCGTGTTTTGTACGGCAGAAGTCCGTTGTAAAAGTCATAGCAATAACAGCTGGGACGTGTACCCTGTCATGCAACTGCTGTGCCAATTTTTCGCAAACACTGTTACGGTTTATGGTGTATTGTTCTGCGAAAGGTGTTTTTGTGCTCCTTTTGCCGTACTATGCCGTACAATGGCGTTATTACACCTAGATAGAGCAGGGAAGACGCCAGGTCAGGACACAACTTTTAGCAAATTTCTTTTGTTGGAAGTTTTTGATGTAAGCTAAAAAGAGAGGTGTATGCGCTTTATATAATCCGCAACCCTACTTAGTTTACATCGCATTGTACTTCAATCTACACCCAATAACACAACACCGCGCAACACCGCACCGCCTCCTCATCGGTAAAAAAATCAATCGATCCTTGCAGGTCCTCAGGTAACAACATCAACCTTTCCCAACAACAGCTGCCCAGTCCATCCCGTCTCCCTGCCCCATCTCCACGCGCACAGCCCCCCTACCCCTCCTGGCCTCCACCTCCCCTCCCCACTCCCTCCCCACTCCCCCCCACCTCGGTACGTCCGAACCAGTTCGCCGCTTCCGCCACCACCCAGTAGCTCAGCCCCTCGCTGCGAGGTCCCGCCGCTCTCCGGGTCTGCCCCCCGCTGAACAGCAGCAGCGCGTCCGGGTCCAAAGCGGCCTCCTCGATACCCAGCTGGATGTGGTCCAGGAAGGACTGCGCCTCACCTGGCGGGGAGTGCGGGGTTTTGGGGTCCGAAGGGGAGGAGGTTTGGGTTTCGGAGGTAAAGATCAAGAGGATTGGGTGGTGGGCTGTTGCTAGGAGAGGAAAAAAAGCCAGTTGGTGTGTATGTGTGTAGTTGTCGGTGGGGAAAGAGGGTTAAGGAAAAAAGACTGAAACGTTGTTCGATACCATATCCGGACGCGGGATGCCGCAGCGCGGTTAAGGTTTGGGGGAAGGGGAGATGTGAGAAAATTTTGCGTATCAAGGGATAAGAAGGATGACAGCACAGGGGCCCCGATCAAGGAGGAAATGCGATTAGGGTCTTGAAGGGAAGGGAGGGGGAGCAGACGTAAGCTAGCCTTATTTTTCCCTTGTAGCACCGGGAAACAAATGATCATTTCCCCGTAAAATTCAAAGCGTGGCTTTGGCGGCTGTCTCCGTTTCTTCGCACTTCCCCTCGCCTGAACCTTGACCTTTGGACCCTTTGTTTTCCCCCCCGGTTTATGACTGCTGCTCAGTGCTCACCCTTGACTTTTTGGTATTCTTCGAGGAACCACGACGACTCCTTGCTAGCTTCGGAGTAGTCAACGCCCGTGTAGACCGCATGCCCGGCGACAAGCACCAGATTCTTCAACGCGGATGCTGGGAGAAATGATTTGGCTTCTGACTCCAAGAGCTTCCTATTGCGTTTAAGCGCCGCGCTCTGAGGGCTTTCACGGAAGCGGAAGAAGTACCATCCGGGTGCCAAGAGCAGCAGGACGAGGCTAACCCTGACAGCGCTACTGATCCAGCGTCGTTGTGAGAGCGTAAGCTTGCCATGAGGCGCCGAGTAACCATACTGTAAGCCTTGCTGGGGGTCTGCCGATCCCACGGCTCCTCTGGGATGCCTACTATGTACGCTTTCATGCCCCACGTATACCGGCAGCATGCTGCCTTATCAAACTGGACAGCTAATTTTAAAGAAAAACACAAAGCAAGACTGTAGCTAGGTCGTTGAAGGAAGCTTCATAACCGGTAAACCAACCATAAGTTGAAAATGCTTTCATGTACCATACAGTTATACAGTAAAGATCTCTATGAGATAGTTGTAAGAAAACTGAGTGCAACATACATAATCGGTTGACGTTTGCTTTCTAGTGTTATTTAAACATCTTGGCATAATTACTTTCACGTTGATGCAGCATTAGCAATCATGGCGCACATTCAGCTTTCCTGAGCATCATACTGTGAAGCTGTCCTCCACACCCACAGAACATACCGTATTAGGTGCCTGTCGAACGGTGAGGCCGAACGAACAATAACAAAACGCTTAAAAGATTTGAAAAATACGATGCACTCTGCTTTGCTTTCTAGTGTTGGAAGCTGGGGCGTCCAAGGACTATTAGATGCCGTACACTCGCCGGAAAACCCTACCTACCCACGTTCGCCGACTTACCCACCTATGCATGTCTGCCACATCCTCTTACCCCTGCGACATCGTGTCTGTCGCCCACTCCCATGATTCCCATGATCCTAGCAACGAGGATTCGGGACTGTTCGGCCGCCTGGGCGCATAGCGCCTGCAGTGATATCGGCACTACCGGCATGGGGCTACAAGTGATATTGTTGAACCATTACTGATTCTTTTATCATTCATACATCATTCGGCACAATGTAGTAGCCTTGGTACTTGTAAACGTAGCAACGCCTCCATGGCGAGTCTGCAAGCCCTTGTAACAGCAGCCCAAAGGCCAGCTGCTGCAACCCGTGCTTCTATAAGCAATGTTTGAGCCCGTCAGTCAGTATGAGGGGTGACCAGGATGTCTCAACCTGCCGTATTCATACTCCAAGATACACCGCAACCCGTTTCAAGGCGTGCGTTTCAGGAACTGCGGTACTTACAACACGTAGGCCCTTCCCCATATGGAATTTGCTGATATCTTGCAAACTATATAACAGTGTTTTTCCAATGAGACGGCGGCGCCGGCCAGGCGAAAAATTGTTGTAATTATCTTGATTATACGTGGCTGCATTGTGAACACGCGACCGTCCCTTACAGTTAGATAACAGCTAACTCGTGATGAGCTTCGTACCATGGCTGAGTATGCCACGGAATTTCTTGTCACGTTCTGGCACGTTGTACGGCTTTGGGCTTGCGTCGACTTGTTGCCATTGACCATGCATCTTCCAGTTCCAATTATTCTGGTTCGAGATTTTTATTCCTAATCATATCACAGTACACTACGTTGTGCTGCTGGCAACAATCTACGCTCCACCTTCCATTTGACACGTTGACCTTGTCCTGCTTACCCAAGGCCTTCTGTTTCTTGAGACCATTTCCGTATTTTCCCGAGACAAGCCTTGACCGTTTATCCTAGCCTCCGCGGTCCACCGTAGTGCACTCGACAAAATGGACGCTTGCGCCGCGCTTGCGGCATAGGCACCGGCGCGGACTAAAATAGAGCCGCTGCGCTGGCGGCATTGCAGTAGACAGGTCAGCGCCCTGCAGCTGCTTGGAGAACCGTTGTGCTTTAGCCACAACTTGTCAGGAGCCCTACACCACCATGCCTGTTCTGCGGCGTGCCCTAAGTGTCCTGAAGGCGCCCTTTGTCTTTGTTGGAAAAGCATATAATGATACGGCTCAGAAATATCCCATGTATACGGGAGTGGTCACTACGGTCATCAAGACGAGCGCTGCAGACCTGTTTGCGCAAAAGGTAACACGCTGCCTAGGGCTTTTACCTGGTAGACCGTCTCCTCAGCAAGTTGCTCATCTTGCTTCTCATCTTGCAGATAGTTGAGCGTCGAGAGGAAGTGGACTGGCGTCGCCACGGCATGTTTGTATTGTTCGGCTTTGGCTACCTTGTAGGTTTTTAATCAGCATGACGCCTCGCTGAGTGCGCCCGGGGACCATAAACCCTAGCTAAGCTTACCCGTTTTCCCGTAGGGTTGCTGGCAGTACTACCTCTACAACGACCTGTTCGTTCGGTGGTGTAAGCCAATTACAGCGCTCGTCGGCCACCGTGGCTCAGCACCTGTGAAGACATTCATTGATCAATGCATTCAGTGAGTAATCTCATGCTTGGGGTGTGCAAGGACGGCAGTTGCTCGTGTGAACCGTTGCTGGGCACCCGGCACCCAATACAATTCTGCTCCATGATGTGCATCTCCCCCCGGCATCCGACAATGTTCGAGCCAGCGGCCCCCTTGAAGGCCCCTTTTTCTGTCCTGTCAGCTTGCAAGTAGGAGACGCGTGTGCTGACCGGGGTGCATCAATCGTCCCTGCAGTCACCCGGTGCTGTACTTCCCGAGCTTCTACACCCTCAAGGGCATGGTGGAGGGCAAGCCCCTCTCGGAGTCCATGTCGGAGTATCGCGAGCACCTGTGGGATAACTGCAAGGCGCTGTGGATGATCTGGGTCCCCGCACAGATGGTGAATTTCACCGTCGTGCCGCTGCACCTGCGCATCCCCTTTGGTAAGATTGGGAAAACCCTTGCACAAGGCAAGGATTGGAACCAGGGGGGGGTCATTGAAAGCCCTTCTTGAGAATGGGCCGTCACACACTGTTGAGGGAAGGGAGGGAGAGGCGTGGACGAAGGCGCAACGAAGTGCAATGCAGCGCCAAGTAGTGCTATGTACATTTTCAACACGCTAAATAGATGCGAAGCAGCATGACGCAGGGGTGGACCCTCCACCTTGGCTAAACCGCAGATCACCGCAGATCACGCTTCCTTGCAAAGAAATATCAAGAATTATTAAAGTGTTGCGGGAGTGCAGCTCAACGGGAGCCCCGCACATTGCCACGGGCGGGTGCGGGTGCGAATCATTTTGTAATTTATATTATAACAAAAGGTCAAAGATCTGGAACTTTTTTGTTTCCCTTTAGGGGACCATAACTTTGGTTCCGCACGTCTCGGAGCTGTGACAGGGTGATGGGTCACGGTCAGTGTCCACACACTCATCCGCACCAAAATTCGAGTGTCCCTCTTCGGACGCCCTGATCGCCCTTTCCCCCTGCCTCTCCACGCCCGGGCCACGCGGTGGCGTGTCTGGGTCGGCGGTAATGAGTTTAACATGAGTTAAAGATTCGGTTTCGTTTTCCTGCTGAAGCGCCTCGTGTATACTTTCCAACGCATGCACATTCGAAACGCTGCTGCACGTAGTGGCGGGCGTGTCCTTCGCGTGGACCGTGGTTATCAGCTGTATGCGTGGCGCGCTGGACAAGAAGAAGCCGGCTGCCGAGGAGGATACGGCAATCATGATGGAATCGGTGGTCGCAAACGCGGGGGCAGCGCCGCCCATTGTGGCACGCAGCTCACCGATTGCGCTGCAGCCCCTGCTGTTCAACGCTGCAAACGCCAGGTGAGCGGTAACCTGCTGAGTCCCCCAGGGTTCGCTCTGGGGGGCCCTGTTAGGACTTGTGTGCCAAGGAAGGAACGGCTTTGGCCCAATGAAAGATTTTTTGCAGGTGCAGGAAAGAAATATGGCGTGCCATGTGGGTGGTGGTGGGGGCCGAGGAAGTGCATGGCGCTACGCATGTTAATAATGACCTTCACTCGTGGTATTGGGGTATAAATACGGCTAGGCCACGGTTGTTTTATGGATAGCCCCACTTTTGTTTGGATGGGGGCTATTGCGGAATGCCGCCGGATGGTCGGCGCTGCAGGAAACTTCGTCATTGCTAGCTGTGACCTGTTCATGGAAGAAGCGGGAAGCAGGGAAGCAGACTTGGCCACCATGGCGTTCGGTTTCCTGTTCCGATTTGTGGCTGGACTTGAGTCCCAAGCTCCTAACCTTCGTAATGCACCTTTGCCTTGGGTTTATGCCCATATCTGTTGTGTCTGGTTTCACAGCGCGGACAGCCCGCAGGAGGCGGAGACGTCCTCACCACCGGGCCCGGTGGGATTGCAGCAGCTGGTGGCGGCCGGCGACGCTGGCGATGCGTCGACAGCCCCTTTGCTGCTTCGTTAAGCAAGGATCGCACGACGTGTGTGTGCCGTCGTCCGTGCCGTGTCCGTTTCACGGCACGATAGGGGGACCAACTCGTCGTATAGATCTAAGCATAGCTTGGTAACCTGCGCCAGGAGAACAAAACTACATTGTTAAATACTTTTATTCCCAAGCACTGTAATTACGTTTCGTTAATGTTGTGCAAGTTGATGCATGTGGTGTCTTGGGGTTCCGGGTCTTCGTTACGTCGGCTACATTGTTTTTCCCACGCGATAAGGCTGTAGCTTTGCAACTGTCGCAGGTGCGCAATGTGGGGGCCTGTGCCTCAGCATGGGTGTGTGTATCCTTTTAAAGTAGAGCGGCTGGACGGCGTTGGGTTGTATAACCGGTCCGTTTGTGTGTTGTATTGTTCCATAATCGTTACTGCAGGAGCTGCACATGGGCATGCAGTGTCGCGTGGTGTTGTCCTGGGAGTTGGTAGCTTCGATGTGCCATACACCCGTATTATTCACGTCGCAAGCGTTCGTGATTACGTCACCGTGCAGTTTGCAACCATACATGTCGCCGTCTCGGATGGAATGAGTGGGTGCAACTGAGGTGCATTCCTCAGGTATAGGCCGGGAATTTTAGGTCGGAATTTTTCGAGTTGTTTGGGAGAGAAGCGAGACATGAGAGTCTAAACTAGGAGCGCCAGGACGAGCAGGGATTGCGTCGGATGTCAGGAAGATGTAAACAAGCTCAGGTCGAGCTCCCCGGTGGCCTGTTTCCAGGCGACCCTGGCACAGCGTGACGACCATATAAACTAGTGCTCGGGCAGCAGGTTGCCAACTAAAATAACCTGTATGGTTTCCTTGGATCCAGAAACCTAGTAAAACTTACGGCAGCACCCATCTTTGTCAACATCTCCAAAGATATGCATGTGTGTTTAGTTACGTCTTTATAATGCAAAAGCGCCTCGACAGCTTCGCCGTTGTTGGCTCTAGATGAAAAGAAGCGAGGCAACCTGAGTCTGTAGAGGATGGCATCATACATTTGATCGGCGCAGGTTTTGGACCGGTTCCGGCATTTTGCCTTTCGCTGATCAGTGATCAGATGTGTCTTGTCCGTTACTGTTTTCATTTGCACCCTGCTGAGGGTTGCAGTAAGGTTTAATTTTTCGCATCTTGGGGTACCCTCGGCCATCGACCGAACGCATCTCCAAAGTGTAACTTGACCCCACTGTCCGCACCCTCGCAGCCGCGACCGACCCCGCTGTCCGCGTCATCATGACCGAACCCCCCTTCGCATCTAACCCCTTCGGACGGTCCGCCCCAGCCGCCCCGAGGCCGCTGCTGCGCTGCAGTTGCATTCTGACCGCCGTACATGGTTATGCCGGTGCGTGTAGCAATGCTTGGTTGGTAGAGGCGGCTGGATTTGGATGGCTTTCCTTAAAGTTGTGTGGGCTCTGCTATCCCGCCGGCATTCATCCACTTTTCTTCTGGACCTCCTGTACATTATGAGCCCTCCGCAGCTGCTCGGCTCCGATTTCCATGACCTGTTGCCGTAGAGCTTCTACATGAGTGTCAGGGAGACGTGTGCATGCATTTTTCAAGACCCATAATAATTCATATCGCAGACGGCGCTTGTCACGCGTGGCGACCCATTTTCCATGCCTAGAACATTTTAGGGCTACATTTCTTCCCGTTTCCTTAGCTTCCCCAAAAGGCAGGAAAGGCAGTTCGTTAATCCATGACTTTTCGAGCACAAGTAGCTGTGACAGGGCTGTACGCTGAATAAACCAGCGTAATACAACTCTTCTCACTGGAGCGTGGTGGGAGAGCGCGATTGTGTCTCACACGTTACACGAGGTCAAAAGCCCCTCAGGTCAGTGGCCTGGCGCAATGCAGCAGCTGCAAACTGGCTGTCAGGACAGCGGTGCAGGCTAACCGCGTAGGACGCCAGAACCACGGGGCCACTGAGCAACGCTCATGCAGTGAGAACGCAGTCGCCACCAACAGCCCGAATCTTCTTCTCAGCCAGCGAAGAGAAGAACTTGGCCTTCACCACCACCGGCTGCTCAGGCAGCTGACCCTTGCCCAGCACCTTCGAAATGCCATACTTCGTCACATCAATGACGGCAGCAGAGCTCTTGTCCTTGGCGGCCTGCTCGCGAGCCTGCTCGGGAGGAAATGTGTTGTGCGTGGACCAGGACGGGACGTTCATGTTAACGATCCTCGGCTGCTGGGGCTCATACTATAGTCGACTCTCCACGTCAGCGTGGGAGACCCAGACCATTACAGAGTCCTTCCCATTGCCGCAGCCGTTTGGAAACCACGGCACGCATTAGGCACTTCACTTCAGCACGATTATGTGTGCGAAGGAATGGCGGTGTGCCCCTTTCCATAATGTTGTACGGGCAATGGCAAGACGCGCACTCGGTACAGGTTTGATAGAGTACTACTCCTGCAATGTCATTCCGTTCCATTCGGTCTCGTTCAACCGACAGGTGACAGCCATACATCGAACATGCAAGTCCCCATAGTGGTACGAGGTATAGCTGTTCCCATGGCATGCATTTCTCAGCATCCGTTTTGTGGCCATGTTCCATGCCAAGGTCTAGCACCGCTGTCACGCACGGTTACCGAGTTGACTCGGAAGCCTTAAAGCGCTTCATACGCCCGAATAAGATGCTTGCCGCACTAGGTCCCACCCTTGTAATTCACCCAAGGTTGATATGGCCCGACTACCTTGATGCTGGAAACCTATACCACCCACCTCCTCGCCAACCAGGGTCCACAGCTTGTCCAGGTTGATGATGGGGCAGTGGTACTTGTTCCGTGCATAGTGGAAGTGCCTCATACCGACCTGAATGGCAGCCATCACCAAGCCGTAAGGCTACCTTTCGCGGCACACGACATATGCTGCTGAGGTGCATTCAGTGCAGAATTTTCAGCGCCAAAGAATTTCTGCCTGATCTTCACGGATAGAGTTTGTATTGTTATGCAATGTCAATCCATAATGCTGGGTGCAAAAGTGTGAATTCAATGCTGCGGCGGCCGACCAAGGCTCCTTCACAAACGACTTTCCCGCCGGGCTATAAGCTCCATACTGTTACGTGGCTGAAGCTGCGCTCCAAATCCCTCTGCAAAGGTGAAAGCTCACCTTGCCGAAGTAGCCAGGGTGGTACTTGTCCATCATAATGCGGTGGTGGTGCTGACCACCAGCGTTACCGCGACCACCTGGATGCTTGCGGTGCTTGCCAACGCGGCCATGGCCCGCGCTGACGTGACCGCGCTTCTTCCGGTTCTTCTTGAACCCTGCGGACAACCCGGCGGCAGGATTTCAAACCCATATCCTTGCTAAATCGTATAACTGATACATAACAATTAGTCGATTCATGCAAACTTAGATTAGAGCAGAGGTGCGCAGCAGTCTGCGCCGAAATGTAACAAGTGGGCGGCGGCAAAGCACCTAAATCGCAATTACGGGTACCTACTGGTGGTCATTTTCCCGTCAGGCTCGTGGGCTGAGAGGGAGGCACGTTGGTGGCTGTAGACAGTAAGTAGGCCCAAGCGCGGTCGCCTCCCTGGAGCCGGGACTAACTTCCTCAACTACCACTATTTACAATAGGTTACTAAAACAAATTCTGCAAGTATGTAGTTCTTTAATTCAACATATGAATTTACTCTGATTTAATAACGCTTGCTTGTTCTGGCTTCTACTTAAACAACCTGCTCCCCTTTTGTCCGCAAGCGTCCTGCATGTAGTCCAAAAGCATGGGGGAGGTGACTGGGGAGAAGGGGACACAACGCGTCCACAACACTCGAGCCCAACCAGCACAGTCGGTTGCCGAGTGTTCGGAGGTGTAGTACACTTTGACTTTCTGGGCCCTTCCTGGGCCTCCTGAGCTCCCATGAGTCAGGCAGCGCAGTATCAGAAGATCAAGATGAAAGGCACGCAGGTGGATTCACGACAATCTCCCGCCTGGGTTAGAGCCTCCTGTGTACCTTGGCGGGAGCTGCGCCTTCCGGTTTTGGGGCCCGTGCATGAAGCTGAGCGTGTATCGGCGGCGAATCAGGGTAAATCGTGCACCGTCACACCCGGAGGAGCCCAGAGAAAAAACATCGAGCATGACTACATCTGTGGCCCCAAAACGAAACAACGGCCAAACAACGACCTGCACCAGAACAGTATTTTGCTGATGTCGTCCAGGTAGACAACCTGGAAGGCATAGCAGCCGACCTAGTGCTCCAAAAGGCAGTTTGCAGTGTCCACATACCACTACCATACCAGCCTGCCCGCCTGGGCCGGCGACCAAGCAGCATCTACAGCCTTTTCCCCAAACCGACCTCCGGGGGGCTTCCCCATGACGTGAGACCGAACCACCAGTAGGCATGGGGACCTTGGGGCCTCCATACCCAGTACGCCGTGCTTTTCATGTCGCAGCCATCTCCTGCACAAGCCTTGCATCCTATTTCCTGGTATCTTGCAAAATGTCCCAAATGTTGCTATTAGCTCATTTTGTTGTGCACTGCGCCGGCACCAGAACTCGCCTGGCCGCTGCACCCAACTTCATAGCTCCAGCACCCGCACCGTACACTGGGGCTGCCCTCTCTTCCATCACCAAGAGCAAGCCACCAGCCACCCAGAAAGCACCAACCAGGGAAAAAGCACCAAGCATGCGCGCTTCAACGCCGTCATCTTGATCCGCATCCAAACGCATACGCTACCATGCCCATCACCACACGCACGTAAGACCGCCCTGCTCGTCCATCGCATCCCGACATCGCCGCTTTTGTTTCCAGGATGCCCTCCCTACCTGTGGCCACTACCGTGTCCCAACAGAGATCCTCCCCCCCTTCCCCCCCTCCTCCCCCTCCGGCGATACGCCTACATAGATGCCACATTTCCTTTTTCTCTTAACGCGACATGAAAAACACAATGGGGTGATGCTCCACAATATACAGCACACGGAAGAGTCACGACACCACAACAGATAGCAACCAACCAGTTAATCGCCCGTATAGCCGAAACAGCTTGGTAATCTGCTGGACAGGCTGCAGGTCGGTGTGAGCAGTGTTCCCTGCGAGCATGATGGCTCTGTGATCGTATGCGTATGTCATACACGCATGTGTTCATATTGTTCGCGCTGTTTGTGCTGCAGTGCGTCGTATGTGTAACAAGCAAGTTACACTCGCATGTGGCTAGCATGTGTTCGCCTGCCGCATACGATGCCTTTTCGCGCCTTGTGTAGCCTTGTAGACGTGTTGCATGTTACGTGTGTCCCATGTGCGGTGTTGTCCTCTTTCCCTTGGCGCGCCTTGCTTGGCCACGATGGCTGGGCAATAAATGGCATCAGCCGCAGGGTGGTGCCAGGCGCACCTCCACGAGGGGACAAGCGGACTGGGGCTGGGCATGCCTTGCAGTTTGGAGGTAAGTGCGTAGTTGGGGTTGGGTTGGGTGTGTGATTGGGGATTAGATGGTGAGTACGGAGGTCGGGGGAATGGCTTTGGAAGGGGTTGGGTGTTGGGCCATGCACGCGAGCCTTTTTTTTGCAACGAGCAGCCATGGTTGGCAGTAGGCAGTAGGCAGGCGGACAGTAGCAGCAACAGCAATGGCATAGCAAAAGTAAAGGCTTTTGGAAAGGTTTCCAGCATCCAGCAAATCCAGGTCACAACTGCCGGCCGCCTGACAAGCATGATGTTGCTCTGTTGTGGTATGTGTCTGTGTGCTTATACCTAAGGCCGTGCCTGCACGGCATTGGTGAATATGCCTCACGGATTGTGAGTCATTTTCCGCGATCAACATTTTGACCGCTTGTTTCCCCTTTTTCGGTGCGCCGCACCTGACTTGGTGAGGGTGTTGCCTTCAGGATGCTGCGGCCATCAAAGAAAATACTTCATGTAAGTGTATGGTAATACGGCCTTAGCCTCCTGGGTCATTTATCTACCGCTTGATGTACTGTGCACGTCTGCCGTACTGTGTCGTACCGTCGAGGTATAATTACGTGTTTGATATGCGTTGACTCCGTAATTGACACATCACACGCTGACTTGTCCACACACACGCCCTCCCCGCTTGTTTCTCACTGTATGTCCGCATGAACCTGGTCCTGCAATCAACATGAGGAGACACCATGGTCCTGCACGTGCCTAAGGCAGGCCTCTTGAAAATGTGTGTACGGCAAGGACTCGGCGGTGCTGCCAAAGGACGGGTCCCACACAGAGCTGCGGTTGAGGCGGATGTGAAGCCAGTACGGTGGAGGTTTGTGGACCTGGTGGCGGTGGTTGACGCGATGGACATGGATAGGGTGGTCTGTATGTTTGACCTGTGGGCCTATTTCCAAGTGGGTTCGTGCCCCACCGCGATCGAGGGTACCACGGCTTGTGTAATTGCGCACCTCGGGGCAGTGTGTCTCGTATGTTTCACTGCCCGGGCTGTGTGTCGTGGCGAGGATTATTGCTGTGCACGGTCCGCGACGCTCGAGATGGAAGTCCCGTGTGTGTTTGATCCGTGTGCAAGAGACCCTTTACCTGGCCACGTGTGCAAGAGCATGGGCCGTTGAGCGAATTTAGGAATCCTTTTCTTCGTAGGCTGGCGACGAAGCCTCAGCATAAATGACGGGGGGACGTTCGTCGACCGTATAAGCCCAACATGGGAAAGGCAAAAAGGGAGGGCCACAACAGTTGATGTTGGTGCTGATGACATTTGCGGTGAATGAGCGAATGCAAATGTTGGGCGCAGGAGGAAAACGCCGGGGGTGATGGGGGATACAGGCCAAATCCGCCGCCACCACCTTTGCAGTAACAAAGCGCCCGGGTGTCCAAAAACACAAGAGTGGACACGGCGCGCATTGTGAGCACGACGTCTGCGCCACGAGTGGAATTCGTTCAGCTAGGAAGCCTTGATCCCGATCACACCGGCGTTTTCAATCGATTGACTTTAAGGGTTCCGCACGAAGGGCTCTGTGCCGCAGCTGCATTCCCAAAGCCATTCCATGACAAAAGGTGCGCTCGCTTTTGTCCCGGTTTTCCTCTTTCCGTCGACTGCGCGGCGAAACCTACCCCAAGGCGTTCAAGAACAAATAATATCCCTTCTGCGAACTGAGACGAAGATGTATCCCGGACTGCGGTCCCCTCCATTTCACTAAAAAGCATTCCTGACACTATCCTAATGCTAACTATTATACGGCATTTCCCAAGGTGTAGTACGACGCAGGCATGCCGGGGTAATGCCCGGGGCCGCCACCGCCGGCGGCGGCTGGGTAGCCGGGGGAGGGCCCCGGGGCGGCGCCGGGTTTGGAGGACAGGGCGAACATCCCGCCAGCCGGGGTGGCGGTGGCGGCGGCGGCTGCACCTCCGCCTCCGGGTGCCTCCGCCGGCCGCGTGCTGGCAAAGAGGGGATGCTCTGTTAGCTTGTCCCTCCGGATGGCGAGGAAGAGCTGGAATGTGGAGTAGAGGATGAACGCACCCACCTGATGAGGCATGGGGGACAAGGGGGAACGACGAACCACACACGATTGAAGCTGCTGCCAGGGCAAGAGAGGGACAAGGGGGAAAGTGAAGCAGAGGGAGAAACAGGACGGGAGGGAAAAGGGAGTGAAACACTAATAAACCCCCAAAACACAATTACATATAAGAGCGCCAATGCGGCGTGGGGGGTGGGGTCTGTGGTCGGGGACAGCCCTAGGGCTTTGGAAGTGACGGGACAGATCCCGGTGGCAAATATAAATGAACCGTAAAGCGTAAAGTGGAACACAAATGGAGAACAATTTCTTAGTTGCGTTGAAGAAGGAAGAAAGAAAAAGAAGGCGGAAAGCCAGGAAGGAAGGACTCGGCCGATCCAAGTCCCAGCGCCAGGAGCCCACTGCCCTGTTGCAGCGTGGTGAGACACAGAGCGCGGCATGGCTTGCAACTGGATGAGGTGCCGCACCCGCCATGTGCTCATTAACATGCCGCCTGGTGGCGGCAAGTTGTCTGTCTCACCAGTATGCTGACCATTTGGAACTTGATGATGCCAAAGACGATGATGCCCAGGGCGATGGGCGCGGCGACGGCGACGGTGATGATGGCCGTCAGCCGCATGGAGCAGCCGGCCAGCATGAGCAAGTTGGCCAGGATGCGGCCGCCATCCAGCGGGTAGGCAGGTACCAGGAGGTTGAACAAGAAGAGGGCGATGTTCAGCTGCGAAAGCGCGCGCGGGCGTGGTCGCGGTTATTGCGGGTTGTGGGTTATTGCGGGTTGGGTTCAAAGATTTGGGGTTTTGGGGTCTCGTCGAGTTGGGTGAAAGAGGAACTATTCGTGAAAAGAGCAGTTAATTGCTTGATATTGTCGTGCTCCGCGGTTTGAGTGTTACACCTCTTTAGGTTGCCAGGCTAGGCCTATTAAAGGTCAGACGGCCCCTAACAACAAGATGCTGCCTGAAATTTCGCTTGGCTTCATGATCGGGTTCATGGTCGGGATGGATGATGCGGTCCGACAGGAGGAGGCCAGTAATGTGACGCGAGGAGGCATCCGGCGCGGGGAGGGAGGGAGGGGAGGGCATGAGGCGGGGTGAGCACTGTGCCTCACCGTGCGTTTTCCCTGCGCGCGCACCTGCACACACGGGACGGGAAAAATCTCCCGGATGGCTTCAAGACAACACACAAGCAGCGGAGGTTCTGTGACCTGCAGCCTCGTCCGGATGGCGCTACTCACCCGAAAGCAAAACCTTCTAGAAGATGTGTGTTCCAAACTGGCTGGCTACCTGGCAGACTATATATAGCTGGCGAGCCTCCCCATTCCCCCTAAGCAACGTAACCACAAACCTACGCAACGCAACCGCGCGCGTTGGCGCCATGCACCCAGTGCACATCAGAATGATGATAGATACCCGGTGTCGACCCTCCGGTATCTCCGCACCAGTATCGCCCACACGACCAGCGCGTGGCCGAAGTGGTTACTGTCCACGTACGGCACGTCCAGGGTGATGTGCCAGCTGCCCGTGCTTCCATGGTAGGCCGGGAACAGCAGCCCGACCCAGATGGCCACCATGGGAAGGTGGGTCAGAGGACCGGCGGCTGCGACCCAGATCGCCTCTGTCGTTGTGCGACCAAGCAGCACGCAAGGCGGCAACGGAAAGGGGGCACGGACGGAAACAGATCCGGTAAAGAGCCTCGGAAAGGGCCTCGGAAAGGGAGTATAGAGCCCTACTGGCAAGGGCGGAACGGGAACGGGCAGCACACGGCGAATTTGCGGATCCGGATCTGGATAACCGGATTCCATACCCCCTACTTACTCAGGTACGTTGTATTGTAGCCAATGAAAGCCAGACCGCCAAGCGGCCATAGCAGGATGCTATCTGCGGTTCCTCCCACCGACCTTGCGGCCAGGCAGTGCCCCAGCTCGTGCACCAGTATCGTCAGCAGCAGCACTGGACCCAACACGATAGCCGATAGGAGAACGTACCAGCCGCCATAATACAGGGAGCCGAGCGTTTGCGCAATCCACACGATGAAGAAAGTCACTGAGGCGCAGGCAGAGGAAAGGTTTAGGTATGTGGAGGCAGAGGAGGAGGTCAAGTAGTGAGCGGATCTGATGCCTAACGGCCGATTTGAAGGAAGCGCGTGGAGAGTGAATGTAAGACGGGCTGGCGGTAGGTAGGTAAATACATGTAATACAGAATACGGCGTTGCATTATATTAGACAAGATACATGCCCCAAATGGGAGGAAGCGGCGGCGGCAGGAGAGAGTTGGAAGGGGAGGAGCGAGGTGGGGAAGCGAGGTGAGCTTTGAGACGTGGGAGAAAGATATGGTTGGAGGTCTGGCGGACAGAAGTGGAAGCGGGCATTGGTTGACTCGCGCGGTGAAAGGCAGAAGGGATCCGTGAGGGTGATGTCTTTGAGGAATTTCCGTCGGAACAGTGGCGGTTGGTGGCATCGACATGTTAAAATTATAGGTATTGGAATGGGCGTTGCAGGGGAAGCTGCGAGGAGCTGCTGCACGGCACTGCTCTTGCGAAACGTGTGATTCTTGTTATCAACCCTGGTGCACCAACACCAAAACCACCAACACCGGCAGCGGATAATATGGCAAGGCAGGCAACTAGAGTCCATGGATGACCAGTCCAGGAGGACTTCGGGTTGCGGGACGCAAGAAGGCAGGAAAACTTGATAAATTGCAATAGAAGTACTTATAAAGCCTCACAATGAAGACGAACTGGAATCTTCAACACGCTGCCCAAAGGGATGCTCCAAGGAAACCTGTCGAAGTCGTTCCATGCCATGGTTGAGCTTTCGTGATTGACTTGACTTGATACATTAAACGTTCTCCGGTAAGTTATAGCTGGAGGGAAAAGAGTTGCCTATTCTGGTACAACCCGGTACAACGGTACAGCGGTACTACGGTACAACCCCCTCGGTTCAACCAACGGCAGCTCGTGAATACAGCTGTTACTTTTTGGTTGTGCTTTCCCGTGCACAAGCTGCTTCTTGTCGTAGTTATTCAATGATATGATATTTAGATTGTGGCGTAACGCGCTTTACATGAGGACACTCGGTCCGTGGGTCGGCCCTGTCGAGGTCTGCATACACGCAACATGGCAACAGGCGCCTTGTTTAAGCCTTATCCGGCAGAGCTTAAAGCAAAGTAACACATCCATATATCTCCAAGCCAACAGCCTTATTTACATCGTAATTTTTCACTAGGATGTTACCTCTGATGTTACCAAGGGAAACAGAGCCTGACACAACAAGAAAATAAGCGCAAGGAAGTAAGGCTTGGAGCCAAGAAGTCTGGACACGCACCCCCGCTCTGAAACGCACAAACCTATAAGACATCCAAGAGACATTGATACTACCTTCCGTACGTCTTGTTCTCTTGTGGCACGGACGTACTCGCGCTTGTCGCGCGGCACGTCCAGCATTGCAGCACAAACGAACGAACGAACGCTGCACCAATAAGCGCTGCCATGAAGCTCAGGACAAAGGGCCCCGTACCGGTACTGCATTCGTTCAAGTTTGCCTTTCCTTCCTCCCCACAGAACCTCTGGCCAATCCTGATTTCGCATCAACAATCTGTAGGTTCAAAGGATAATAGCCAGCCACCATAAAAAGGCGACGGCCTTCGCACTGTTGTAAAAGTCAAGGTCAGGGGTTAACAGATGCTGTGCGTGCTGTGCGACGTCCGACGCGCAAGGCATCCTCCGAGCACCCGGGTGATCCAGTTTGATAAATTAATATTTTCAGGTTCAAGCTACACTTCATCACAACTCATAATATGCTAACAGCGCGTGTATAGACGTGCTGCGCTCAGAAAGAGGTTTTCCTTCCGGTGTGGCTATCTGACTTTGCCATAGCCGCTGTCATTTTCTTACTTTATGTCTATAATATCATTATTGCGCTGTAATGGACAGCTGCCTGCACTTGAAGGCACATCCTTCCTGAAGCCGCCGCAGGTAATACAGGCGAGGTTCGCGATTGCGCTTTGCAGAATCAATAAAACTCATTTTTCCAACTGTTAAGCTCGGTGAATTGAGCATAAGCATTCGAACATGCCGATTGTTCCCGTACCGCCCTCCCAGGTCGCGTCAACGTCAGCGCCGCTAGTCTCTCGTTGGCATCTCTCTGTCCCACATATCCGGCTTCCATGGACAGCCGTGGCCTCAGTGAGCGAGCGGCCACGTCGCGGTGTGCACAGTATTGATAACACACGTTACGGTACCGGCGCCAGGGGGAGCGTCGCCACTACCGCTGTCGGCACAAGCTATGGCCGCGATGCTCCAGCGCCGTATAAGTGGTCCTGGCAGGACGACTCCGAGCCCCCGAATCCGCTAGACCTCGATGCATCTGCAATAACCACAGCAAACAGCATCCAGGTGACAATCCCGCACGCCATGTCGTGCCTGCCGCTTTGGTACTCATGTCCCTAGTCAGGTGGTAGACGCTCCTCTCTCTTACGATGTCTGCAGTGCAGTTTGCTGCTGATCCTTATCGTGCACCGCCCTGTCCCATGGCAGCCTCCTGCACTTGCTTTCCATGTTGCTTCTTCCCCAGCCTCCTGTCTTGCACTCTTGTGCACCGTACGTACTTTACATCGCTTAGTTATTAGCGATTGAATTTTTTGATGCCCTGAGTTTTTGTACAACTGATGGATGGCAGCTGAACCATACGTCAGCAAGCCTTTACACCTCGCAAAGGGCTCCTGGTCGCCTGTTCGATCCCGATCGCTCACTCCCTGTTGTGGCGCCCACATAACGCCACATGCCCTAAACTCACCATTATTTGCATCCCGTACAACGCCCTTTCCTTCACCTCGGACCCTACAGGAGCTCACGGTGACGTTGCGGGCCGCCGTCTCTGCAGCGCACCCAGGATCAATCCTCACACCCCCATCCCGTTCACTGCTGGCGGCCACCGTGCAAAGGCTGTTACCGCACGACGTCACCACGTCAGCGTGCAGTGTCCTTGACGTGGCGCGGCTTCTAGAGGTGTACGTTGCCGTATCCCACGAAGTGTCTGGCGCTGATGTCGCTGATGCATGCGACAACATGCCGCCGCGCTTGGTTGCCTCCGTACTGGCGCACGTTTGTTCCCTTTCCGCGGTCCCCGGGAGCGCGGCAGGGAGAGCAGCAGCGGCGGCAGTGCACTCCACCTCAGCTCGCGACCTGGCGGATTTGTTGTGGGTGCTGTCGGAGCTCCCGGACAACGAGCTGCCCTGGGAGAGTCGTACAGTAGCGACCGCGACCGCGGCGGCGGCGGCGGTGGCGGGGGCGGGGCCGGCCACGTTAGAGGCCGTAGTGACGGCAGAGGCGCCGGGGGTCCTCCAGCGTGCCGTACTCGCGCGCGTGCGGGACCAGGATTTCCTGGCACCGGACCTATGTAGGGTGGTGTGTGCGCTGGGCGGCCTAGCCGCCGACAGCACCGCCGCCGCCGCCGTCCGCTCCGTTGGACCGTCATCACCTCCGAGTGAGGCTCCTGCTGTGCCTCGCAGTGGCGGCGGCGGCTTTACGGTGGATCCGGAACTTGTGCGGGCGCTGGGCGATGAGATCCGCTACCAGCTGACCGAGTTTGATGCCGACTTCGATGCAGCTGATCTGGGTCGGCTCATCTCCGGAATGGCTGGACTGTGGCTGGGGCCGGCCGTGGCGGGGGACGAGGAGTACCGCAGGTAGGTGCCGCGTATGTATGTGTGTATGCATGTATGTATGTATGTGTATCTGTTACATATCGATCCGGAGGCCTGAAGCTGGCCAGGGGCACCTAACCGTATACCACAACGGAAGCGACCGCCGAAGCACTCCATCATTGGAGGGGCGTTATATTATATCGATCAGAGTCCTCTGACCGTTCCCCCTTATCAACGCAAGGCGCCGTCACCTGTTCGTCGAATCCTCAAGCCAGCTACATACACACCAGGCTCAAATGCCAAGCAACCTCCGTTCCACCGAGCGCATGCTCTACAGCTGCGCGAACTATCAATGCACTCACACCGTTGCTAATTGCTACTCCATCCTTGCGAATTCTGCCGCCGCCCGGTTTCGTTATCCAACCACCACCATCTAGTATGCAGCTTGTTCCAGGCCCTATGCAGAATTAATCCTCCCTCACTGCGTTGCGGCAGTGAATAGATCTTCATGGTGAGAGCTCCCTCACTCCACTCCACTCCACCAGCGCACAGCGCACCGGAGGAACCTCAGTGTGTCCCACCTCAGCATTTGGCACCTCGATCTATTTCACCCGGGGGGGGGGACCAGCGGTGAATTCCAAACCCACATTTTCCCGACAAAACTAGATACCGTCTCTGGGATTGGAACTCCAGGCTTGCCGATTTCCTAGCCCGGTGCTCTCCCAACTCGAGCTACGCCGTGTATGTGCACGCACAGGCGTTTGCTACGTGAAAATTGAAGATAGGCGGATAGTCAATGTATGTAGGCAGAACTTTACCGAAGACAAGTATAAGTAATCCAGCGAGGAATGAAGTGGTCGAAATCAGTCCTGGATATTTTTAAAAATATGTTGACAAGTTGACAAGGCGGAGAATGAATGGCACCAGAACGAGTACAAAAAGCCTGTAGTCGCTGTAGTGGCGACACAGACCACTAGACCACCACTAGGTGGTTGGTGTCTCTTCAACACTGCGTTGCCACCAGTGGTGTAGTATTAGCGAACCACTACTACAGGCAAGGGTACCTGTGTGCGTATGTGCATGAGTGTATATATGTATGTATGTATGTGTATATATATGTATGTATGTGTGTGTGCGTTGTTGCGAATATGTTGGGTGCTGGGGGGCTACGCGCGCACATATACTTTCAATTGTTCACTTGGCACAATGCATTGCTGTCGCTGTGGCTGTCCTGAGCGTGCTTTAGCCGTCGTGCACCATCCGTAACCCCCACTCATAAACTTACAGCCCCGAATATGGCCGCGCCGGCCCAGGATATGGCTCTCTTTTTATCTTCCCCTGCCGGACATATGATTTATTCACGTGTTCGTGCCCGCACAGGATCCTCATGAAAGCTGTGTACGGCAAGACCCGGTCGATTGTGGACAAGGCCGCTGTGGACTTTGCGCTGTCGCGGCTGCTTCTGGACGACCCGGAGGCGCGTTCCATGCATTACGACAGCCGGTGGACGCATGAGGAGCTGCGGTGGCTGCCGCGGCGTGAGCGCGATAAGCGGCGCATCCTGAAGGAGGGCTGGTACCGAACCAAGTGGGGCGGCTGGTCGCCGGGGGGAGATGGCGGTGCATAGGAGGTCGCGTGGAAGGGAGCGTGGGGAGCGAGGGGAGGGGCGGGGAATCCTATAATTATGCAAAATGCAAAAGTCACAAGTAAAGAACAACTGCGTCGATGTCCAAAGCAGGCGAGGGCGGGAAGTAGGGCTTCTTGCGACGGCGTGGAGGCGCTCTGTTGTATGGTATGACACTAAGAGCTTGTACGAGGTCGTACGGATTATACAACGTACGGGGTCTTGACTTCCGGCAATTTTCCGGTCCCAACATTTAATGCGTCCATGATTATGGTTATTGTGTCAGGTGACAAGGCGGGTGGGTCGGTGCCGCAAGGCGCAAAACCATGTGGACTCCTGCCACAAAATCCATGTAGACGTTTATATGTTGGAGGCCAAGCGGCAGCTGCTCGAATATGTCAGCAAGGGGTATCCCCACAACCTCCCCTACAGCCCTTCTCCCCCCTCCCAGTTCAGATCATAAAATAGACGCAGTGGAAGGAGAAATAGAGGCAACTGTGTACCGCATGGTGGGCAGCGCTGCCCGTATAACACGGCCAGGAGCACCTCCTGCTTTCATTCCAACAAGGGTATGGCGCATGGGCCACTAGCTACCCTCCACGATGATGTTTCGGGACACCCTCGTCCTCCTAATGCATGCATGCCAGCTTATTCAGTGATTTTGTCGGGTTCAGCACCACCACCAGCATCTACTGGAATCTGCCCCCGGATCAACGGGGGCGTCAACTTCACTCCAGGTCGGCTCGCAGGTTCATCACTTTAAACTTTAATCCATTTCCGTCCACGGGCACGGGGGCTCATCTACCCTCTTACGGATTTTTATTCCACACACACTCGATTCTGGAACGATGGGACACAAAGTCGTGCTTAACATATTTGTTGTGTCAGGAACCAATCATACATTTGCATGTACATATAAATATGCGGCAAAGTAACAAGCGCTCGGACAACGAATCACACACACAGCAGACACTCATATGGAAGCCCTTACTGCCGTACCTCGGGTAAGTACGGCGTGGTTTGTTTTTGATTGATTGCGGGCCCGCAATTCCAACTTAGTAGTACCAAAATACATATGGGAAAACTGTAAGAAATTCAGGCATGCGCCTCCATGCGCACATGCACATGCGCGCCCACATGCACGGCCCACACGACCGGCCCCCTACCAGCAGCTCTTTTTAAGACAATTGGCCATCAACCCAGTAATCTAGGGACGACGACCGGACGATTGCCAGACATGGCACAGCCGCTCGTACTTCGTTTAAATGCACATCAGTCGTGTTACGTCTTTGCATTAAGCAACGTTCGCTAATGCTTTCTGTGACGCTGCCACAGACTGGTGTACGATTCGAACGGAAGGTAAGTAATGCTGTTACCTGCCATCCTCTTTATTTTAGTGAACAGCATAAAAGCATCCATAATACGCCAGCCTGCTTCCTCCTACAATTACAATACACCCCGGGAACGGGGCTGCAAATGCGACGTTTAAAGACAATAATTTGCGTACACATACGTACAAAGCATCTACAAAGCATAAACCAAATCTTGGGGGAAGTTGCATATTTAAATGCCTAACGACGACACCTAGAGCTACCCACAGCAGTCAACAGCGCAAAAACACAACCACCACCCTGCAGCAGCATGTTATTAAGGCCATTGGTCATCCACTGCCTGCCCAACAAGGCGCACACCTGAAGCGACAAATCCATGCAAGAAACAACGGTGTTCTGGTTATATGCAAACACTTAGCATTTGAGTTTGTTTTCTAACAGACACTTATTGACAGTTCAGCGACCCAGGGTCATTTGTGCCATCAGCTCCGCTACGCCCAGACACCGCATAGATTTCTCCTTGGCCTGCCAAGTACATACATAGCTATAAGAGCACTGTTACCCCTTGCCCATCAAGCCTCGTTAAGAACCACGCACCGCTGTCGCACCGCCCGCATCGCCACAATCCCATCGCCATCGCTACACGCGATCGTGTACTTGCCGCACACCGCCCGCCCCCCATTGCCCGCCCACACTGAGCTCCGCCCCCCCGCCTCCTTCCCCCGCGAACATGGACGGCACTCACGACCCTGCCGCCTGCGGTCATTAACCACAGTACACTCTTACAATCTATGCGCAACCCCGCCGCACGACGCCTCCCCAAGATCCTCTACATGACAGCAATAGCAGCGGCAGTAGCAGCCTCAAGGTGAATATGAATGAGTCGGGAGGGAAGTCACCGGTGCCGCTTGCAACAACAGAGGCACCCAGCAGCAACAGTGCACACATCTACACACACATACGCACGCACACTCCTCACACACAATTAGGCCCAGCCAAATATGATGTTCACATACGCAAAACACACCCACGTACATACAATCCTTTTTTAATGGCACGAAGCAACAAATGGAGCGGTCAACACAAGCATCTCAGCAGTAACATAAGCCCCACTTCTAAGTGGGGTTATAAAATAAACTGCGCATTTGCCGATACTCTTCCTCGCTTGTTTAAAAGGGATTAGGAAAAGGACCACATGCCGTTAAATATCAACACCTAATCATTTCATTCTGTCGCCACTACGCAGCCAGCCACACAGCGCCGGCGTCCGCGGCAGGTAAGGCCGCAACGAAGAAGAGGAGAGGTGGGGAACACTATCCCATTAGCAAATCGGCCGAGTCCCATGACGATTTCTGGGCACTGACTTCTCGAACAGGCGGCACCTGCTCGCCTAAAGGAGACACGCACTAAACTAGACCAGCACTTTCACCTGCTGGTCAAAGCACGGGGCCATCCTCCTATAGATATACATCATATTCCCTTCTGGGCTTGTTGGCCACAAAACTCAATTCTACGTTGCACAGAGCAACCCCCACCCACCCACCCCGCCTAAAAATAAAGACAATTGCGAAAGCGCCGAAAGCGCCGATCCTTGACAGCGATCACATACATTTACGGTATCACGGCATCCTGACGATTAAACTTTTGGAGTTCAGAACAAAAATCAGCAACACCTGAAATGCATTAACTGACTATTATCAACCAAACTCAACCAAACACGACCGAACGAAATGGAGTGCGCAGCTCAATGCAGTGCAATGCAATGCAGACAGCGACTCGCTTGCGAGCCCAGACCTTCCACCACCAACACCTCGCTAATGCGACACACGAATATAACTCTAAAACACACACCGCTACTCACATTTAATCCTGTTGACTGCACCTGAAACAATCCCCCCGCTGGCAGTGGAAGTAGCGGGACCTTGAGCGACAGCATCATCATCATCATCATCAGTAACAGCCTTGCAATATGTGGTGCTGGCCGAGCCATCGGAACCGCTGCCGCTGCCGCCACCGCTGCTGGCGCCTTCGGCCGCGGCTGTAGCCAGGAAACGTAGCCGCGCGCGCACGTCCAGCAGTAGCAGCAGGCCCAGTGCCGCTGCGTTCTGCATCAGGGCGCGCAACGCCGCCGGTGCGAGCGCACCGCCGTACAGCACACTTGCGTAGATGTGCGTGTCGGAAATTACTGCCGCCGCGCGCTGCACCAGAGCGGCCCGCACGTGGATCTGCTCCCCCATGTCCATTGCAACATCACGGGCAACACCAGCAACACAAGCAAAAGGTCAGGGCAATTAAACAACAACTGACATTGCAGCAGTATTAGCAACAACAACAGCGTTAGTATCCAAAAAGCAATAAGCCGTAGTAAATAACTGCAGGCCGCCAGTTGAAGCTAAGGCAGCAGCAGCAGTAACCGTATCGGTGCCAGCAGCAGCAAATGTGAAAGCTGCAGTACCAGTGTTTCCGTACACCATACGGTGCCCCCCGCACCTGCTCCGACAGCGGCTTGATGACCACCAGCATGATGACGTCCAGGCGATGCCGGGCAAAGTCCGACCAGATCCGCGGGAGGGGGAGCGCACCCAGAAGCGACAGAAACACCTGAATGCGTGCGCAACAGTAGCAGCAGTAGCAACAGTAGCAACAGTAGCAACAGTAGCAGCAGTAGCAACAGTAGCAACAGTAGCAGCAGTAGCAACAGTAGCAGCAGTAGCAACAGTAGCAGCAGTAGCAACAGTAACAGCAGCAGAACAGCAGAGCGTAAGTCATACCAGCGTTCCCACTGCAAAATGCAAAAACAGTTCCGAAACGGACCTGGAGACACTTGTGCTGTCGTCGTTTGGTGGGTTTGGTGGGGAAGCAGGGGAACGCGCTTCCCTTTTCGGGAGCCCCTAGCAATTTACGCTGGCTTAGCCAGCAGTAGCAGAGGCAGTAGCGGGAGCGCGGCATGTACAACTGCTGATCCTTATAATGCGTAATTCATTTCCACCTCCCCCCTCCTCCGAATCAGCCGCCATTACCGAATCAGGCACCACTCACCAGCAGCACCTTCATCAGGTCTCCAAATGACAGCACCACATCACGGTGACGGCGGAACACCGAGGGGGCGACCGCATGCAGCACATAAGGCCCCAGTAAGCCGGCGTTGAAGGTGCAATGGCTGGCCAGCTCGCCGAAGCGGTGGTTTCGTAGCAGGTCCAGCGCGGGCACAAGGAAGAAGGCTGTGAACATGACGCCTGTGAACGGTTAGGTCAGTTGGTTGGTCGGTCAGTCAGTCAGATGGCCGCATGTGGGAGAGGCGTACAGCAAGTGGTTGAGAGAGGCGGGGGGAGGTGCCAGGACAGATCGGGGACGGGGGCGCGGCCATGATGTGATAGGGGCTGCATGTGGTGTGATAGGGGGGCTGTATGAGAGAGTGTGTGTGTCATCGTGGTCGTGGTAAGTGTGGTGATGGTGTGTGCGCATGTGTATGTGTGTGGATGGACGGACGGACGGACGGACCGGAGCAGCAGCGGATCAAAGGCCAGTGGCCCGAAGGGGGTCCCAGGTGCGGGTGCCCTACGCCTCCACAGGCCCCTCTCGCCGTTGCTGACACATCCAGCCGCTGCCCCCGGGGGTTGAGGTTACGGTTGCGATTAACGACTCACCGCACGTGTTATCGAGGACGGAGAGTGACGCGGTCCGGTACATCCGGTATCTTGCCTCGACCCGTGGGTCGGCGAAGCCGGCCAGACTGCTGCGAAGCCACGACCCATCGCGGGGCCCCCTGCTCCCATAATGCCGGTGCTGATCATGGTGGTAGCGGGTATGGTGGTCCAGGGGCGGACAGCGGCGTAGCACCAGTAGCGCTCTCCAACACCACTGCGCCAGTGACGGCAAGAAGCCCTTCAGCCCGCAGCTGCTCCGGTCGGCGCCGCCGCTGTTGCCGCCGCTGGCAGCGGTGGTCGAGGGGTCAACGTGGTGACAGGGGCCGAAGACATCTTCCTTGGCGGAGGTGACAGCGGCAGGGAGGGCGGTGTCAGCAGCTGTGGCGACCGCCGCCTCGCCGTCATTCCAGGCCATAGCTGGCTGCTGCTGCTGCTGCTGCTGCTGCTGGTTTTGCTGATCCTGCAATAGCGCGAGCGGTAATGGCGAAGGCGGCGGCACTAGCCGCCGGGCCGCTGCGCCGCCGCCAGCCGCCAGGAGCATTCCCGCCCAGCGGTTCACCCCCTCCAGTCGCGCCTGCGCCGCCATCTCCGCCGGCGTGCAGCCGCCGTCGTCTGCGGCTGTAAACCAGAGCGCGGGCGCGTCGGGAAAGGTCTCCAACAACAGCGCCGCCGTCTCTCCTAAGTCATCCAGGGCGACCGAGAGATGAAGCGGCGTGAGACCCATGGGACCACGCACACCTACATCCCACGCGAACACTTTCCCCTCCTGAACCACCCCGCCACTGGCGCCGGCGGCGGCAGCGGCAGCTGCAGTGACGTCTGCTTTCACCGCCGCCGCCAGCACCAGCACATGCAGCATCTCCGGCTTGCGCGCCGACACCGCCAAGTGCAGCAGGCTCATGCCGCCCTCCCTGGACGTAACGCCAGCGTCCGCCGCCGCCAAGCCGACGCCCACCCGAGCAAGCCCCATCAGCAGCTCCTTCGTGGTGTGCACCCAGCCGCGACGCACTGCGAACGCCAATAGCCCCAGCCCCAGGTGCCGCATGCGGGTGTGCAGCTGCGACGCAGATCCCGGAGCTGCGGTGGCGAAGAAGGCGGGCCAGACGCCCTGAGACTGTTGTTGCTGCGGCTGCCATGGCGGTGGCGGCGGAGGCGCCGTCGCCGCCGTTCCAACTGCTGGGAGGCTCGTTGACGTCACGTCTGTCGTGTGGACGGAGGACGACGTACGGACAGGTGCTACTGCGGCTGTTGCTACAGCTACGGGAGGGTGTTGCTGCAGCTGTCCGGTGGCCACGTCCTCTTCCACTGCTAAGGTAGCAGCAGTAGCAATAGCTGTTGCTACTGCCGGCAGCGGTGCTGCGCTGTCGATTCTTGGCCCTTCCGGTGGGGCCCCAAGGACCATCATCGCCGTCGATGCCAGCTCCGACGCCGCTGCCGCGGGCGCTTTGACTTCTGACCCGACTGCCGGGCGCTCTAGCTGCTGGTGTTGCTGCTGCGAAGGCGACGGTGAAGACGACGACGATAACGACGATGGGCTCGTGCAGGATCCATCGCCCGCGGTGACGGGCGGCTGCAGCAGCGCCGGTTCAGTGGCAGCACGTGCCACTAGCTCCGCTGGGGGGGGGCTCTCGGACCGCGGACGGCTGCGTCGCAGCGCCTCACTTGAGCGGTTCCTGACGGCGGCACTGCCGCTGGCGTGTTCGGATGGTGACAGGACGGCATCAGCGGCGGCGGCGACGAGGTTGGCGTTAGCTCCACACAGACGTAGCCGGGAGCCCTCGGCGCCAAAGTGCAAGGAGGGACGCGGTGATGGCGACGCCGACGCCGACGGCGCGGCGACGGTGGACGATGTCGGTGTCCGGGCCGGCGGGGGTGGCGGCAGCGCCTCCGCCAGCGGCCCGGACGACGGCAGGGGCGGCGGCAGCGTCGCCGACATCCCCAGTGGTACATCCGTCAAGCTGTCCCAGCTGCGCAACTCTGTACCCGATGATTCCGTACGTACGAGCGACAGAGTCAGGCTGTCGCTGACGCCGGCCCGCGCGGACGGGCCAGACCTGCAGGAGGTCAAGACATGAGAAAGGGTCGCGGCCTCTACGGGACTCAGCGCCAGAAGTTCTGCGCTAACGGCTGGACTCGAACCGACGACGTCGTCGGCTTCAGCCCCCTCAATATTTGCCGAGCCAGTTCCCGACGAGGCCGGGTCCACATGCGTCGTCGTCGGCGGCGCAGGTGGTGATGGTCGTGACTCCCCCGCGTCGCTGGCCACGGCAGCAGCTTTGCCGCCGCCGCCGGCGCCCACGGCCACCTCCATCCTGCTACAGCCAGGGGCTGCTTTGATGTACGGCAGCCAGTCAGTGAACTTCATCCCCTGCGCCAGACACCCCGCGGTGTTGGACGCCGGACCTGGATGGCTGGTCCGGTCCTCGACATCCACACCTCCTTGCGGAGCCTGCTCGGGTTGCGGGTACGGCGCCGCGTCAGCACCCATCACCTCCGCCGCCGCCGACGGCTCTACTGCCGCCACATCGGCACCACTGGCGCCACCCCTCACATGACGGCCGCCATCAGCACCACCGCCAATGCTGGTATGCCGAGAGCCACCGCCGCCGGTACCCTGAGGAGGTACCCCGTGTTTAGATGCCGCTGCCGCCTCCGCCAGCAGCGACGGCGGCGGCGGCGGCCCTGTACCCAACTCAGCTGCTCCTTCCTCAGCTGCGAAGCGGAGCGGCGGCGCCGCCGCCGCACACGTCTCGGCCACGTCATCCGCGCCCACACCGTCCCGAAGCCTCTCTGGCGTCCGCGTCCTCGTCCTCGCCGGCGCCGCCTCCGCCAGCAGCCGGTGGGCCTGTGGGTCGCTGATGGCCCTCATAAACTCCGCTACCTCCGCACCCTCGGCGTCAGTGCTCGGCCCAGGGCTACTGCCGTACGCTACACCCACATACGGCTCCAGGAGCCCGAAGCCCGCCGCCTCTGCAGCACCTCCTGCCGCCGCCTCCTTACCACGCGTGGGTCCCGCCGTCGTGACCGCCGCCAGCACCGGAGGTCGTACAGCAGCAGTCGCAGCAGCACTGCCACCAACGGCAGCTATGGCGGGGGGGACGTCGGCAGAGATAGGCCGAGCAGGAACCACTGTGCGCCCATCGTGTGCATGCTGCACACGATGATGGTGAGGTTGATGTTGATGGTGCTGCTCAGCCAGCGCCAGCATTTCCTCCAAGCGCCGCAAGCCCTCTATGCGCGGCGGTGGCGGCGGCGGCGGCGGCGGGAGCGATGGTGGTGGTGGTTGTTCTACGGGTTCCACTTCATTCAGCAGCCGCAGCAGCGATTGGCCGAAAAGTCGCCCCAAGGCCCCCCCGCCGCCGCCGCCGCCTCCGCCCCCGCCGCCGCTGACCCCATCACCGTCACCGTCATCGATACCCGGCCTCGTGAGGAGCTGCTCGCTTTCCCATGCCGCTGCAGCAGTAGCACCACATGCAGCTGCAGCAATGGCAGGGTCTGAAGCGGCGTCAGCAGCACGGGATGCGCGCACTGAGTCGCGAGATGGCCCGCGGCCCGTTGCGGCTCCAGGCGACACGGCTTGCGGCGGCGGCGGCGGCGTCAGCACTTGTACGGCACTGCCACCAGATGTAGGCGGCACCTGCGGCAGCTGCTGCGGCTGTATCAGCTGTGACGAAATCCGATAGTGAGGATGCCGTGCTGTAGCCGGCGGCTGCACCTCATACTGCTGCTGCTGCTGCTGCGGTCGCTGGGGCAGCGGCCCGGGGGTCTGCTGAGATTCCGGTGATGGCGGTGATGACGCGGTGGCCGACAGCGGCGCCGAGGAGGTTGCCTGGTAGTCCAGCCACAGCCCCAAGTCCATAACCAGGCGCTGTGCTGCGGCAATGGCGGCGCCGTCCTCCCCCTGTACGGCAGCGTCTTGCAGCGCCGCCACCTCCTGCCATACCTGCTTAGAAAGAGGGGGACGAGGGGCGCGGGCGGGAAGGGAGGGAAGTAGTGGCAGGAGAATGGCAGGGTAGTGGTTGTAGCTGGTGGGTTGGGATGTGGTGGTTTAATAAATCCGTGTCCCGGGGAACTGTCCCCCCGTGTTCCTGAGCCACCGTCCCCGAGCCGCAACAGACACAGAGGCCACCCTACCGGCCCTACCGGCTGGGCTCTCCAGGCGCCACCAGTCCGCACCACAACCAAAAGGGGACACAACCCTTTAGGGGATTGATGTTCCCCTTCATTCATTCATTACCGCAATCGGCAACACCGTCCAACAGCTCCAACAGCTCCAGGGGGGGGATGAAACAAAAACAAATCTGGCGCCAGCCCTTCACACACTCTTTGTGTGCGTAACCCTCTCCTCCTCTCTGCCGCCGATCACTCCCCGCCCCCCTCTTCAATCACGACCGCTGCCAAACGCACACACCAACTCACCCCGGCATTCGGCGCCACAAGCACCGGCAGCGCCGCCCCGAGCAGGCCCCCCCGCTGGCACTCCACAAACATAAGGCCCGGGTGGGATGGCGGTGCAGGCAGCTGCAGGCACAGCACCTCAGCACGACGTAATGCGTCATGCGGCAGAACCTGAAGGGAGGAGAGGAACGGAGGGGAGAGGAGAGGAGGGGAAAAAAAAGACGAACCACGTGAACGAGTGAAGCTGCTGCCAAGGGGGGAAAGAGTGTACCAGACGTAGAACTGACCAAAAGGCGTTCTTGAAGGCGGGAGAGGAGGGGAGAGGAGGGGAGAGGAGGGAAAGACCCACTCACCGTGCGCCCCCCCCCCTCACATAAACAGCAGCACCCAGCCCAGCCCAGTCCAGCCCAGCACAGCTTCCCGCAGGGGGGTACCTCGCTCCGGCCCACAGCGCCAGACGCTTTTTCCCCCAGAGCCCCAACATCGGCAAATTACCCGTTGCCTAGCTTCCAACCACCAACCACCAACCGTACACTACCCCTGCAGTACCCCGCAAGCTTGCTCTTAAAAGCATATCACCCTAGCGCACCCTCATCCTAGCGAACCCCAACACCTGCTTGCTACGACCCTGCAGTGTCTCACCCTCCTGAGCGCCGCCGCGGGCATCTGGTCTCCCAACAACGACGTGCGGCAGGGCTGGTAGGCGCCGCGGAAGCGGACGTGGACCGCCAAGGGCCCCGTATCGCCCAGGAGGACAGAAGATGCCGCCGCCGGTAGCATGCAGCATCTGTACACCCCATGCGCCCTCGCCCCACGGCAACTGTACCGTCACGGTCTGGCCTCCGCCGCCGATGTCCGGTCCCAAAAGCTGTACGAGTAGCTCGGGCGTCAAAACATCCCGCAGCCGCTGGGAGGAAGCAGCAGCCGGAGGCAGCGGCGGCGGCGGCGGCGCCGCCGCAGACGGCACCCCTGGCCCTACGGCCGCCGCCGTAGCTGACCCGCCAACAGGCTGCAGGGAAGACACGCTCGCGCGACGCAGCTGGCGCAGCCGGCGCGGCGACATAATGTGGAGCCTGCTCGGCGCGGCAGCGCCGGTGCCGAAGGCGCCACCACTGCCATCGTCATCATCGTCGTCGTCGTCGTCGTCGCCACCGCCGCTGCCGTAGCGGCCCTGGGCCCTTCCGCCCCTGGCGGCAGATGCAGTAGCGGACACGGAGGCGACACGCGCAAGAGCCGTCACGCGCGACGCGCCCGCCGCCGTTGCGGCGACGGCACCCGCCGCCGTTGCTGACATCACGCGCGCAGGTGCGTTACGACGGTTGCGCCTCAGTTGTTGTTGCTGCTGCTGATGTTGCTGTTGCTGCTGCTGCAGAACTGACGGCTCACGAACGCTCAAATCGCCCAGCGGCAGTGGCGGCAGGTCGCCAGGAGCTGATGCGCGGCCGTGTACCGAATTGGAGCGGCTGAGGAAGGCGGCGGCGGCGGCGGCGGCAGCGGCGGTGGTGGATTCGCCTGCCGCCACCGTTGCCGCACCGCAAAGGTGGCGCCGGCTATTGCTCCTGCTGCTGCCACCACTGCTGCAGAGGCGCTCACCTCCGCGCTCTCCACTCAGAGGGTGTCGTACACGATGTGAGGACGAGATCGCGCGGGGATCTGGGTGCGGCCCGGCCCCGCTGCTGCTGCCGCTACTGCTGCCGTTGCTCCGAATCCCACCGCTGTCGCTGTCGCTGCTGCCGGCTGCCATGTCCAGAAAATCCAAAACGATGTGGATGCAACCTGACGGGACGGAAAGGCCAGAGGAAGGACAGACAGCTTGCCTACTAGATAGGATAGGGGAAGAGTGAGGAAGGGCTCACTCTCGAGTCACGGATGATCCCGGATGTTACTTGCGAGCCAACCCCTCCCGCACAAGCGCGCCTCTCATCACCCATTACCATCATCATCGCCATTATTTTATCATCATCATCATCCCTTTCTTAAGTTTTGTCATCAAAAATGGTTATTCTCCTCCTTACCCCCCCCCCCCACATTCACTCTCCCATGCTTCAAACCACCAACAACGAACGCACCACAGCCAGTCGCGCTCCTTAGCCCCACCACGCACCCCGACCTGCCCCTAGCTAGCTTCCAGCTGCCCAATCCCCTCCAGAGCAGTTTGCCCTGGAAACCCAACCCAACCCAACCGCGATGCAGTGTCTTCCCCCCTTGACCTCACCCCCTTGACCTCACCCCCTTGACCTCACCTTGCCTCACGTACACGCCTAGCAGGGCGACCCCCTCTCCCGCCAGCGCCTCGCAGTAAGGCCGGGTCCAATCCGCTAGGGGCGGCAGGTCGCTTGGATGCCGATCGGGAACCTTCAGGGCAACACGGCCCCACGTGAACATGGGGTTGTACGGCTGAGCCCGGGCGTGGTTGACGAGCGCACGTGCTGTGTCATACGCCAAGGACGTGGTATCGGTGCGGCAGGCGGTGTCCGAGGGGAGGACCCCCGCCACGGCCGTGGCGGCAACGGCGGTGTCAGAGGGACCGTTGGCGCCAACGTCAACGATGCCACCGCCGCTGCCGCCGCTGGCGGCGGTAGCCATGAGGAGCTTGGAGGAAACGCTCAGCGGCGTGTGCAGCCCCGCCATCGCCGCCGTCGGCATGGCAGCGGTACGGGAGGAGGATGTGGAGGTTATGCAAGAGGCGGCGGCAGCAGGGGTTTGAGGACCTGCCGTATTTGGTTTGCTGTGAGAGCAGGACGAGGTGGAGGACGATTCGCAGAGCGAGTGTGCTGCAGCAGGAGAGGCGGTTGCGGTGGGGTTGTTATCACCGCAGGAAAGCACACAGGCGATTGCCGGGGGAGAGTTGTTGCATGACTCGCAGGGACGAGTGGAGGAGAAGGTGCCAGGAGCCTGGAGAGGAGGGGGCTGGTCTTGCGAGTAGTGCTGGTCGGCAAGGAATTGTGGTTCGGGAGAGAACTCTGGTGCCCAGCTGTGGGCCTGGGTCCTCAACCCGTGAGCTCGACAATGTTCGCTGCATGGCTCCTCCACCTCATCAAAGGAGTCAGAGTACACTTGATCGTTCTCTTGTAGCCCAGCCACCTTTCGAGGATGGCGCTCCGCCGTGCCAAAAACAAACCTCAACGTGCGACTATCTTCAAGGCGCCATAACCGCAGTCCAAGCTGCAGAAGTAAAGTGCCAATACCGACAACGAGGCTCAAAAATAAGGCCGGGTAGCCTAAAAGAGGTGCAGCCAATAGGACTGTGTACATGGCCACGTGCTCAAGCTGGAACGCTGTTGATTAGTTCGTAGACAGTTTGGTCTCTACTAGCTTGAAACAAATTGCCACTAAAAACCGCGGCAAAAGCCTTCGCTCACACGACGTGCTGCGACATTGGGAAGCGTCTACGCGCGTAAGGACTACAATAAAACAGAAGTCCGTTGACCTGAGGCTCACTGGCTTATCACAGCTAGCGCCATGCGTGAATTCCTTTGCGGGTGCGATGGAACGGTCCAGACCGCAGGGTTTTCTATAGTATAGTAGGACAATATAAAATAATACAATTTCGCTTGTCAATTGGCCTCTCCGCTTTCGTCATTTATGCAGTACTTCTTGTCACGGCAGCCTCTCTCGCGCATAGAACACTTCGCCGAGCCGATGCCCCTAATAAATGACAATAACTCAAGTTCGTACTAGGTTCTAGGCACCCCGTGACGGGACGTAAGGCACTGTCCGCTGGCATGTACGGCTACTGACCGACTTGTAGTATGTCCCCATCCTTATATCCGCCTCGCGTGTACGGTCTGTCGTGCTTTCGTTTGTGGCGCCCACAGCCCCGGATGTGGACAATGATTTTCATTTGTTTGGGTACCTTAGGGGAGGCTAAAATAAATAAATAAGTAAAGCTGAAAAATGATAAGTAATTCCGCTTTACTTATTTATTAACTCCATTTTAAATATCCTACTACATAATATCTTTTTTCCTATTGGGGGGTTGCATAAATCGATGCTATTTGGAGGGTTGTCTGGCACAATGTGGTTCGGGGGTTTGCATGGACCCATGCTCTTGGGGGTTTCCCTGGCGGCGCGACACTGCGGCCAACCTTGAAGTCTCCCGCCGCCTAGGCCTCGCCGGTGAGCGGTTATCTCTTCGGTCTGCAGTTTAAGGGCCCTTGGCAGTCATTCTGTGCTTCTGTCTCCCCGCTTCCCATCTCTACCAATCCAAGCACGGTCAGCAAGCACGTCAGGATCGGCAGAGCCACGAGAATACAGTTAAGGGAGACAGAAGCACAGAATGACTGGTCGGCACTTCACTTGGGATTCGTTTGTCCCCTCACGCCGATCGGCTATGTGCCCCAAATTCAGTAGTGCTGAGGAGATATTTCCTCGCGGGTCATGGGTCTCTTCCTGCTGTCGTTGTTGGCAAGTCCTTCATCAGCCACTCAGCATCCACTTGAAGAGAAAGGGATGAACGACCTGGGACCCCTGGGACTCAGGACGTCATAAAAAGCAATTGGTCAGGTCAAGTCGAGAGGAGTTAGGGTTGAAAATCCTTCCGACGGTGGAAGGTAAAAGTGTCCCTACTCGATGGACGGTGGTGACCTGGGATATAGTTGACTTGCGAGCTGACAAGGAAAGGAGTTGGGCCGCCGTCGATCTGGCGATCATTCCGTTGGATGCAGAACCTGAGCGATCCCCAGAGAAGTTGGCAATGGGTGTCCCGAAATAGCGGGGAAGGCAGGATCTGCCAGGTAGCGGCTGCAGGGTGAAGATACGACCCCCCTGTCCCATACATCATACATACACTCTCTTGTACTTGGATGTGTCGAACCGTCTGTCTTGCAGCCACCCTGTGGACCACTATCAGGCTACCGCAGCTCGGTCGGCATCATGAAGGCAGCTGCTGATTACATATTGTCACTTGGGGTTGGGATGACAGCACAGTGATGGAGCTGATCATGAACTTGTTGGAGCAAGGGATGGATAGCAACAAGTGATAGGGAACGGAAATGTGGCGGGAAGGGGCTAACGGGCGAGGGTGAACGGGAGGGATATAGGGTGATAGGGAGCTGGGCGGTGCACGATCTCGCTGCTCACAGCAGTGCTGGGTGACAATGATGGTGCATCGATGGATGACCTCGAAAGAAGAAGCTACGGATGGCTTAGCCCTGTCAAAGGAAAGCCCCCCATGATAGTTCCATGGCGCCCTTGTTCGGGCCGCAGTTCCTTTTGTAAGCAAACGTGACTTAAAGCACCTTAGATACTCAAGAAGAACTTCAAGAACCATAACGCTGTATCAATAGCTCTTGGCACTTCCGCCATGGGCAGATTACGTCAATCGCCCGCTATGCCACATAAGCAAAAATAAAGCAACGGCCTTCATGATAACTTGACCTGTTGTTTGCAAGGGCTTGCACTTAGGGATCTTGCTTCCGGGGAGGACGTAACCAGGTGCAGAGGAACGGAGGTGAACGTGATAATGCAGTGACATACAGCTATAATATAAACGTTTAATAGGCTAACTGTCGACAAAGTGAGTTCGCCGGACTGCACCTTACCAACACACTTGGATTTGCAGCTGTTGCGCCGTACAATTTAGCTGGCCTCTGACAAAAGGCACCTCCCATAGCACTTCCAGCTCCATTAGCAAATGTACACAACGTCCGATATTTGATCACAGGCTTTCACCCTGCGTTTGAGCCCTTCTTTTCGGCCTGTTCCAGCTCTGGTGCGTCCGTAAAAGCTGCTAGCTTCCTACATATGACCAGCAAATGAGGAAGCCTGAACAGCTGCGCAGCGCCCTGAGAAGCTGCTGTGGACCCTGCAAACGTTTGCAAGGTACTGTTCGTTGCAAAACCTTCATGCTGTAGCCGCCGCACTTCAGTTCCATTGCTCTAATTTATTACGCGGCTATCTCAAGCATTTATTTATTGAACCCCTGCTGACGTTGCTTCAGGCACAGCGTCGCCGCTTCACGGACATCGACTTGCCTGACTCATTTGTGAGGGCAAGGTGCGACTTGCGGCAACTCATTTTTTGAGGTGAGATGTTTGCTTCTCGAGCTTGTGTATGGATCTTTGAAACATAAGGGGCTTTGTCGACGGGCTTTCGACGGGCATGTGTTTGTGCAGCGCTCTGCTGCAAGAATATGGGCGTATGCGGCGTTTGAGCGTAATCCCGACAGTTGTGCTTTAGCTGTGTAAGGAGCCTACGAAGGCTGAAAGCTAGGCGGTCTAGCAGGAAAGTACACGTCGTTAGGCGAGACATGACCACTTCGTCCGATGTCCGTGACCTTCCTCGCGACAGAGACGACTGCTCATTGGAGTTGCCCAAGACCTTCCAGATCGACCGCATTCCACCTGGCAACGAGAATCTCTGCGTATATCACATTTTCAACTCTCCAAGACCCCAGTGCGATGTTGCGTCGGCGTGAAGCAAGGGCCCCCATTGCCAACGCTTATAATCAACGCAGTCAAGGTCACATCGTC